CATGGGCACCTAAAGGACGCCGATGCACAGGGGGTCATGGGCACCTAAAGGACGCCGATGCACAGGGGGTCATGGGCACCTAAAGGACGCCGATGCACAGGGGGTCATGGGCACCTAAAGGACGCCGATGCACAGGGGGTCATGGGCACCTAAAGGACGCGGATGCACAGGGGGTCATGGGCACCTAAAGGACGCGGATGCACACGGGGTCATGGGCACCTAAAGGACGCGGATGCACACGGGGTCATGGGCACCTAAAGGACGCGGATGCACACGGGCTAGCCCGACTGCTCCGATTCCACAAGAATGCCACAGTAGCACAAATTGCTGAAAAAGTTTATGCTGGTTACGACAAAGGTGTCAGAACACGCACTGCATCGTAGCTTGCTGCGTGTTCGCAGATCAGTCAGAGTGCACGTGCAGACCCCTGTCCACTGCCGAAAGCATCTACAATAGGTACATGAGCATCAGAACTGGACCATGGAACAATGGAAGAAGGCGGCCTAGTCTGATGAGTTACATTTTCTGTTACATCATGTGGACGGCCAGGCGTGTGCGTCATTTATCCGGGAAGATGATGAAACCAGGATGCATTATGGGAAGGCAGCAAGCTGGCAGAGGCAGTGTGATACTCCGGGCAATGTTCTGTTGGGAAACCTCAGGTCCTCACATTCATGTGGAAGTTTCTTTAACCTAAACAGTGGTGCAGACCAAGTACACCTCATCATGGCATTGGTATTCCACAATGGCAGTGGCCTCGTTCAGCAGAATATTGCACTCTGCCACACTGCAAAAATTCTTCAGTAATGGTTTGAAGAACATAAGAAAGAAAGGTTCCCCAGATCTCTATCTGATCGAGCATCTGTAGGATGCGTTGGGCATAACAAGTCCGATCCATGGAGGCCCCGGTTCACAACTTACAAGGCTCAGATGTGACAGATACCACAAAACACCTTTGTTGGTCCTCTAGATGCCATGTCTCAACAGGTCAGAGCTGTTTTAGTGGCACAAGGAGGACCTACAAAATAACAGACAGCTGGTTTTAATGTATCAGTGGAAGTACTGAAATAGGCCTAATATTTCTACTGAAGTCCTTCTATGTTAGCTATAACAACAATGTTGTCCAGGCATCAGTTTTATCCTCTTGTTTGAGCCAATTCTCTCTGCAGGCATTAGAATTTGTGCATAAAGCCCATTTGGGTAAACAAAACTAAATGAAAGGCCTCACAGATACACCGGGGGCTCATCTAGCAACAGGATACAGGTTCATGCATACAACCTTTCATTTTCAAGTTGGAGTTGTTGAGAGGAACGCACTTTGAACCCATATGTGTTAAAATCATCCTTGACACACTGGGTCAGATCAATGTTACAACTGAACCCAATTAATGGCACACGCTTTTGAAAAGAAGAATAGAGTAAAAGCAAGAATAAAAGGATAAATATCAAGGCTCCACGTTAACTTGCTAATCTATAGACAAGGGCGGTCCCCCCCCCCAAGTAACAGCCACACATTTTTAAGATGCACTTAACACAGACATATTGACTAATATTTTTCATGAATGCATATTTTAGTACAAGTACACATTGTACAATATACTTCATACTAAATGTTTCACGAGTCGTCCCCATTTCCAGAAAACAAAAGACTGTCACCACAGCAACAGTTAACCTTGTAACGAAGCGGAGAAATAGCCAATATCATCAGCTCTTCCTAAGTTATTACTGTTAACGAATACTGAAATAAAAACAACAACATTTGTTTGTCTCTATTTTTTGAACATTTGTTTTTGAGTTGCATGCATTTTAAGGTACAAGTGTTCAGTTCAGTCAGGTACCGTGGTTCTCTTGCAGTGACCGTGAACGTGAAATTAAATGGTCATTCATAGTCCATGTGTGTGTGTTTGTGCATCAGATGACAGAATTTCCTTTGTTTGCTTATATGCTGCGTCAAAAGGTGCTATAGAAAGAAAATGTGACTTTACCTTGGCATAGTTGAAAAAGGAGAATTCAGGACGTGGAAATGACATTCCGTGAATCTCAAACACTGTTGTTCCCTCTTTCAAATATAATTCCTGAGTATGTAAAAGTAGGAAGTGAAATGCTGTTTTGAAATTCCCAGACTGTTACATAATAGACAAATGTTAAATATGCCAGCCCACTTTCAAGTGCAATGGACATGCGTATTCAAATTTCAAGTAGTGTAGATATTGTGAAGAACGAAGTAGAGATCAGCAAAACTGGCGAGCTGCATAGATTAGGTGCGGCTCGAGGAGGTGATGGGAATGTCGGCAGTTTTCATCTTCCCAGTCTTCCCAGGGAATTTGACTGTCAACGGGCTTAGTTAAGCAAGGGTATGTTTCCGAAAAGCTCCCATTGGCAACTTACATAGTTTGAACCATTCAGTTGCACGGAACGCATATGCTAGCAACTATACTTTTAGGAAAACATACCCCAGTTTATCAGGGGGGTAGAAAACTACATGATGAAGTCTGTGATACTCACATTGACAAGAGGATTCTGCACTTCCCGTAGACTACTTTTGGTTAGCTAAACAAATATCTAATCAATACTGCAGCAAAAAAATAAAATAATAAAATGAAAGCAGAAGTCCAAATTCATTACAAACAACACATTTACAAGCTGCTCAGCTTGCTCTTTGAAGTTCTTGATAAAACTTGCATGAAGCTAGCATCGTAAAATCATTTGATATTTGTTATTTGTTGTTTAACTTTGTTAAAGTTATGATTATGCTAACATCGTGCCTAAGCTGAAGTGGGACTATTACAGTTATGTGCTGCAATTTGTTCCAGGAAACATCAAATGACAAAACTCACCGCTCAGAAGCGTTCATCTCCGAGCAAATGGCTGTTCATAAACATCCGATTGCTCCACTGATACAGGCTCAAACATATATGGTTGGATGCCTAAACACTCCATGTTTTACCTCACCTATAGTGATCTGTGTGAGCCATCGCATTGTCTCACTGTAAACCAGCCAATCATGAACATATTAATAAGCCCACCAAATAAGGGAAAACAGCACGTTTCGTTCTAGGGCCAAATTATAGGGCTGTATAAGGGCCTGTAAAACCACTTCTGGACATTTTTTGATGATACCAAGCTCACGTACCTTTTATGTTGACACCCAAGAACAATGTAGAAAAAATAATAATAAATTAATTCTATGGTACCTTTAATTTAGCAGTTAAATTTAGTAGGGCAACTTCAATTCATGTAAATAGTCCTGTTTGCATATCAACAAATGGTTGGGTTTCGGTTTCATTTAGCATGTGCGGCCCAACATCCATTACAGCCTGTCTACCTTGGCCCATAGCCATCAAAACTTTGAGCAAGCCCACTCCAAATGATCAGCAGTTAATGCAGTCTATGATAAGTGTATCAAATTGGCACAACTGTGTATGCCCCCGCAAATTTAAACCGTGTTTGACAGAGATTAGATTAAAAATAGGCATGCAACAAGCCAGACACAAATATGAAAGTACAGTGTGGAACCATCTAGAGTCCAACTTCAGAGGTGCCAATCAGCCAACCAATTTCACTTGTGCGAACCGGCAGAGTCAATGTGATATTAGCCTGCTTGCACCTCAGCTTAAGGAAAAGAACCCAACTAATTTAATTAAATAGATAACTAATTTGCCACCACAAATGTGTTTATAAGGGGTTGAGAGAAGGGTTTACAGTGTTAAAGACTTTCCATTATTCATAATACGTTGTGTGCTGTTTTTATTTTGAGGGCTTCATTCTTTAAAACCTAAAACAAATTCAAGCTATATTATTAAGTCAGCAAAACCATAAACTGAAATAAAAATGCTCAAAAACTCTTAAAACTAATCTGAAACGGAAAGAAAACCTAAAAAGTATAAACTACTTTTTTTTAAATGGAACCTAAATTACCTTGGAGCAGATAAGTCTGATCATGACCAGTAGATAAATTTGGCAGGATTTTCATAAAACAAACCATGCCCAGTACAGTAAACAGTTATCGTCAATCTCTACAGATCTTTGCCAGTAGTGCCAATATAAAAATCCTCCCATTGTCATCAAGCACTACTTTCAATCAGTCCGGAGAGCTATTCTGCATCACTCATGAAGTTACCCAGTCTCAGCCTACCCAAGCTCACACGCAAGCTGGGCTCCCACCACAGCGCCCTCGAAAGTATCATTAATATCTACAGAACCAAGCGTTACCCAAGGAAACGTTTTCATTATATACAAAACATAAGCAAGAGACCACTTAAGAAAAAGCTTCAACACAAGCCATTTACAATTCTGAGGCATTTCAATAAAAGGTCTACAACTGAACGTATTATAATAAGTGTTATAACCGAACTGTCGGAGTACAACTTTTTTAAGGTAGTAAAGGAAACCATCGTTTCTCGTCATACAATGCCTAAAGCTTGCAACTAAACATTTCCATCCCCGAGGATCAAGGCGCACAATGTGTGATTAATTTAATAATAGTGCTTAAACAAACAGGACACGTGATCTTAATATCAAAGCTTGTATGGAAACGAAAGTGCCCGTCCCGGCTTTTAAATATACCCGCAGTTAGTGCATAATCTTAAAACACTGGTGTATGATATTATAAAAATATCCTAAAGTTTCCACGCAATCTATAACAGGCTGTATGTGTTATGTTGAATAACACGAAAAAAAACCAAAATTTTTTTACTTAACCGTATATATCACAAAATAGCAGTTACCCGTGTGGTGACCTCCGTGTAGATGCAGCGTCAAACCCTTCGTTGCTCATGGTATTAAAATTCTCTCTCTCTCTCTTTGTTTTTACAAAAAGCAAACTAAATATTCCGTCTATAGGAATTGTCACTTCCTAATTCGCAACACGTGCGATTTCTACGTCATTCTCCCACACGGCCTTAGCGAAAGTAAAGGTTGCCAGTTGCAACTTCACAATCAATCATATTAATCCCCCATTAAAATAACTATTATAGATCGCAACAAAACGTAAACTTTAAAAACCAAACAAAGAGGATAACAAAATAATAAATTACAAATTAGATGCTTAACAAAGTATTCTCAACGTACTAGCTTGGCTTTCCATCCACCTTGAAGTTTGTATCTGGCAACCCAAGTATCCCCGCGTTTACATTGCGGAAGTAAATGATTGATTAAGTTAAACGCGGGAGAGACTGCAACCAAGTCGAAAAGTTTGAGGCTGATCGATACGTATTTATTTCCGCTGTATTTAAAATGCCATAAACTTATTATAAAATTATTTGCGTCCATTAAACCATATCATTTCCATTCACATTGTCTTGATATTAAATAAAATATCTCCAGTAAATTACCCGTATTGTGCTGTGAGATACGAACTTTTTTCATTAAAGTAAAAATTTCAGGTTTTTCCATAAAAAAGCTTGATACATTCACTTTAAAAACAATCTCAATTCATATAATTACATTAAATATGCCCGTCAATTAAGTACTGTGCGTATACGTCTATTACCATATTGTTACTTGGATTGTAGGCTATTTAAATTTTTGCTGGGGTAGAATTCCCATGTCTAAACTATAAGCTAACATAAACTGATGGAACAAACGCATTGTTCGACGACTGAGTTTTTAAACAGTAACTAAAATATTCATCATATTAATTATTTACCCTTTTGAATATTGTATTAAACATTTTATATATTAATGCTTTGTGAAAGTTATTTCACTTACTGAAAGTATCCTCTGGCTATTCATTTATTTATGTAAAAATATATATATCTATTTAGACTTAAATTTTCACTTTATTTCCATATCATTGTACAGTTACATTTCTAAAACATTTTCGTAATTCAACATCTTAAATAGTTTCAGTTTTCAGTAGCACACAAGCATTTTTAAAAATGGTCAATATGACTAACTAAGCCAAAGCGAGATTGTTCTCTGGTCTTCTTCAGCCTAACAAAAAAAAAAGCGTTGGGTTGTTTGGTGGCTCGCTGAGCGGCACTGTCACTGCACACCTCCAGGCTTATGGATAAAATTCCTCCCCCAGTTACACGTGCGTTTTTCTCCTGCAGTCTAAAATCATACCAGTTACGCTGAGTGGTGTCTCCAAATTACCCATGCTGTGTCAATATGTGTATGTGCTCTGTGATAGACTGGAATGACATCTGGAGTATTACCCTTTGCCTACGCTGCCTGAGACAGACTCCACAACCCTGAACAGTGTAAACAGAAGATAAATGGACAACAATGCATGAAATTCTGGAGTGGGGCGGGGGATTATATTAACTAGTTTGAAAACAACAATTATCACTACCTATTGGTTCTCAGTCCTGGGTGAATTTTTGTTGGAAAACAGTAACGGAATTCTCTCCAGAAAAAATAGGAGTATTATAAAGGAACACTGAAATTATTTTACTGTGGGGACATGGTGGAGTTATACAGCTGTTTACAAAGAACCTGAGTGCCTCCTATTCTGAAGACACTCTACTGCTTTTCTTTTTAGTTTCTTTTTTTATTCTGAGTTGAATGGAAATCAGGAGATTAGTAATGAAATATGATTTTCTATTATACTTGCATTGTGTTTACTTGACTGAACTGTTCAGGAAAATAAGAAACAGCAGAACAGCTGCAGAAAATAATAATACTTTCAGGTGGACAGAGCACAGGGCGGAGCCTAAATCTCTTGCCCACTCGACGTCTGCTTGATGCGGCTCCATGATTATTTTTCTTAGCTTTAAGTATTTGCTGAAATGCAGCAGAGAGCCAGAAGGTTTCTGGTTCAAGTCTGGGAATGGGATGAAGTTCATCTCCATGTCTAATTAATTTTCTGAGATACCATATACATTGGTAAATTTATGTGTTGCTTTGAATAAAAGCGGTCCAGCAGCGTATTAAATGAGTAACAAGCTCATTTAGCAAGGGATATTTGCTTGAATAAGATACACCAGAGCTTATCTTTTAACCCCTGCCCTTAATTCTCATGATTGATGGTCATGCACTATAGCACAAAAATAGTCCCACAGAGCAAAAAGTGAATTAATATTTAGTTGATCTTCCCTTCAGGCAATGGTTCTGGATGTAATTATTCTTGTGCGCACATAACATATTACATATTTCAGCACGCTGGTCACTCTGGATTTTTGTACCCTCTGTTTTATCTGCTGTAACAAGATCATATTATTGCCACAAAAGTAGAAATTTATTCAGATTTTAGAATCTTTATCTGTTTTTCTCTCTTAAATTATAATATATAATAAATAAAAATAATCAGTAGAATACATGGAGAATTGTTATCCTCAACCTCGAACTCTGTAGTAGAATCCATAATCACTGCAAACCTGTACTGGATAAATGGTACAGAATATGTATAGATATTTACTCATCATTTTTTGTGTTATTTGAAGCACGATCCATAGAATTTGCTCATCTCTATGGATTTTGGTTACTGGGCAATGATGCGGAGATGGCGGGCAATGATGCAGAGTGATGATTGACTGTTGATGCCATTTACATCCAATGAAGGCACTAGAATTTCTTTCTTTTTTAGTTGTTGGTTGTAATTAGGTACCTAATCATTCCAATTAATGGGCCAAGGGTATCAGACCCTGTTGCATTTACTGTATGTATGGAACAGAAATATCACAGAGAAAATGGGGTCTATGACAGACTCATTCTTAAAGTAACAGTAACAAACAAAAATAATGGGTATGTAGTTCTTTAACACAGAATGATCATGAAATCAACAGATTTAATGTGTATATTTTTTAAGCTAAAGCTCAACAAAACCTCACAAACACTCTGCTCATTGCAGGAACACAGGGACATTCCCTTAAGCAGCTCCGCTTAATCCTCCTCCCTCCCAGCTGCATTTCTCTAGAAAATCCAATCAGTTTTATTAGGGTCAGCTGGGTTTCATTAATGGCCATTTCTGAAGCATGGGGACCGGTGATCGATGGCCATGGAAACGTGAAATGGGCCCGGCCCAGCCTCATGCCTCCACTCTGCTTCCTGCTGGCTCGCACTGGGAACAGCTGTGATGGAAATGTTTGGGTGCTAAGCTAATTGTTCTGGGTGCTTCAGCACCACTCTTGGTATCTTGGTAACAGGCATCTTCAAGTACATCATTATTTCCTTCACATGCGGAGAGGAGGTCAAGGTCCTTTAATGTACCCTTTCCATTCAAAAGGAGTCTGAGCGTAAGCTTCCTTAAATTCTGAGAAGACTTCCAATTAAGAGGAACTTGTAATGGTTACAAAAACAAAAAAAAAATCTGACTACACCTTTTTCAACTAAACAAAACTTAGTAGTATAACTTAACTAAATGTAGACTATCCATCCATCCATCCATTTTCTGAAACCACTTGTCCTTTTCAGGTGGTCTGGAGCCTACACCAGAGACTATGAGGGCAAGACAGAGAACAACCCAAGATGTGGCTCCAACCCATTACAGAACACTAAATGTGGGTGATTGAAATGCTATTTTAAAACAAACATCTGTTGCTGTCGACTACTTATACATAATTAAAATAATTTTAAAGAGTACAGACACTAACCATCACTGGGCAAGTGGGGGTGAGAGGTAAAGAGTGTGTGCTGATACAGTGTGTTGCTGCACCCACTACATGATGGAACCTAAGGGATGAGAACCTAAGTGCAGCCGTGTGGTGGGTGATACCTCAGCACCACACCAGCTTGAAGGGAGTGGATCAGTGTGAAGCTTTTTCTCTGTTGGCTGTAGTGCCAATCCTGCCACAAACCTCCAAATTTTCCCTGAAAGTTGGAGAACCTGCTAGATTGTCATACCCAGGACGCAGCAAGTCCAGGCTGAGGGCCTTACTCAAGGGCCCAAGGGAGTAGAATCACTCCTGGTAGGCATGGGATTCAAACTTCCGATTGCCGGCACAAATCCCTAGCCTCAGAGCCAAGTGTGGGTGGTTACCTCAAAAATATTGTAGTAGTTGTTACAGATTAGTGTGCACAGGCAACACTTCCTGCTCTGGAAGGGATTGGTTCAAGTTTGGACTCCCATGAGCCTCAGGGGCTGTTTGGTTCAGTTATGCATGTTTATGATCATCCTTGTTCAAGTCTCTTCCAGTTATTGATGTGTTATTTCTGTAAATTATAATGGTGAGTGTATATATTTGTATTATAATGTTATATTAATGTGAGGTTAGTATGTGAGGATGGACCCACTGAGGGCGTGTGACATGCAGCTGAATGTTGTGGCTTTGTGAGCAGTGTTGGATCAGGGTATTGCAAATTATAACACTGGGTGAACCTAAAAGAGCAATTATGGAGCTGTAAAATTACCCTTGAGTCCCTGTAGTTCTTGAATAAAAGTGTTTTGGCTCTATTTAAATGGTATCTTTGCCATGTTGCTTTGTCCCCCCACTCATAACCATTGCTACGATATTAACATCCCTGCAAATGAGGATGATCTGAGCCAAAGAATTAAAAATAAAAATAAAAACTTTTTTTTTTTCCATGACAGATTCACAGATGTGTCAAGATACGAGGTGGCAGAGGACAGCTCCAGACGTCATTTAATAAGATACATTAAAGTCGTGTTTGGGCTCCTGAATGCAGAGACGCAGTGCTGTTCTCTCAGCTCGAACCTGCAGCCGGCCGTGTGTCACCTTCTGGCTGCTCCTCTCCTCCTGACTCTTCCTCAGCTCCCCACAGGTGGGCCCAGCAGCGAGTCTCCCCAACACCTCTGTCAGCGTCCCTTCACAGCTGTCCTGCCACTCTCCCGCCTCCTCTGTTTCCTTTGCCCCGCTTTCCGCTGTGATCTCATTAAGCGAGCCCATTCGGCCAGTGGCCCTGTCAGCCCCGGACATGGTTTTCAGCTCCACTGGTTGGCCTATTGGATCTTCTGATCCTGACCTTCATGCGAGCAGGTTCAGTGATACTCCTTGCTTCTTGCTTTCTGCTCAGCTGTGTTCTTCTCCCTCTGAGTCCCAGTTTTATTTGAAATGTGGCCCCACCCTCACCAGC